GAGAGAGAGAGAGAGAGAGAGAGAGAGAGAGAGAGAGAGAGAGAGAGAGAGAGAGAGAGAGACCTATAATTTTCTTCGTTTCAATTGTTCCTGTGATGTTCAACCCATGTCCATAGCAGCATCGATATTGTCGTCTTTCGCGGCACGCAGAAGGAGTGTTGGTTGTGCATGTATAATTGCAGCCGCTGTTGACATTGTGGGTTGTGGCAGCTGCTCCGTGTATGACGCAACTCAGGTTCACACCCCATGACATCGATGTCGTCAGAATGGTCTCCTTCTGTATGAGAACAAACCATGATTGTATCCCGACGTGTAATCGGTGTTTTGTTACCGAAATACACTTCGGGATTTTCGGGATCTGACTTAGTCTTGTTTCTACATTATATCCTGAAGTATTTTTAGTGTTTTGTTACCGAAATACAATTCGGGATTTTCGGGATTTACTTAGTCTCGTTTCTACGTTATATGCAGAAGTGTTTTTGGTGCTTCATTATCGAAATACACTTCGGGATTTTAGGGATTTACTTAGTCCTGTTTCTACATTATACCCCGAAGTGTTTTCGGTTTTTCATTACCGAAATAGACTTCGGGATTTTTCGAGATTTACTTCGTCATTTTACTTCATTTGGCATGTTACATCCCGAAGTGTTTTCGGTATTTCGTTACCGAAATAGACTTCGGGATTTTCGGGATTTACTTAGTCTTGTTTTTATGTTATATCTTGAAGTGTGTTTGGTGTTTCATTACCGAAATAGACTTTGGGATTTTTTGAGATTTACTTGGTCTCGTTTCTATGTTATATCCTAAAGTGTTTTCGGTGTTTCATTACCGAAATACACATCGAGAGTTTCAATTACTTAATCCCGTTTGTGCGTTATATTCCAAAGTTTATTGGGAGTGGTTGTGTGGACCAACTTGAGCGAGGGTGGGTGCGCATGAGAGAGAGAGAAAGAGAGTGTGTGAAAGAGAAAGAGAGAGAGAGAAAGAGAGAGAGAGAGAGAGAGAGAGAGAGAGAGAGAGAGAGAGAGAGAGAGAGCGTCGGGATACAATATACCAGATCAAGAAAAATGACTAAGTAAAATCTCGAAGATCCCGAAGTGTATTTCGGTAACGAAACACCGAATACACGTCGCGATATAATATGCCGGATCGAAAAAAATGACCAAGTGTAATCCCAAAAATCCCGAAGTGTATTTCGGTAACGAAACACCGAATACACGTTGGGATACAATACGCCAGATCGAAAAAAATGACTAAGTAAAATGTCAGATCGAAAAAA